GTCACCCACCAAGCTCCTCTGTCTATGGGATTTTCCAGGCAAGAATACTGGAGTGGGTTGCCATTTCCTTGTCCAAATTGCACATATACACATTAAAATAATAAGAAATGTAAGTGGTTATTTCATGAAAATAGTATTGTCCTTTTATTTTTCTTGTTTAAACCTTCCTATTATTCTCAGCTTTCTATAAGGAAATATTTAAGAGAAAACAGGAAAACAAAAGTATTTCCTAAGTATTTATTTGTTTATTTTGTGGTGCTGTATACAAATACATTTTAATTTTTTCAAATAAATAAAATACATTATGTTTCAAATTACATACATTCTTTCTTTATTGTAAGTACCTTGCTGCATAAAGATCATTAAAATATATTAATTTACTAAAACGTCCAGGTTTCCACATTGCCAGAAACACATTTTGAACCATAATTGAATGAAACTACATTCTCCTTTCTCTTTCCCCTCCCCGCCCTCTCTCTAAATACACACACACGCGCATGTGCGTGCACACACACACACTTGTATATGGAATAATATATAGATCATTTCATACATAAGATAGAAAGAGAGATAGATAAAATCTAGAAAGATGCACCAGACTGTTACCCAGTTAACACTGCTGATCTCTTGTTTTGGGGATTCACTTTCTACATTCTGTGGAAATGTATTGTTTAATTTCTTATTGTTTAAGAATATTGTTTAATTTCTTTTTAACAATAAACATATATTACATTTGTAGTAAAAATTAGCAAGGGCATTTTTTAAAATTATAAAATCTTTAGATGAAAAAAACCTTTCCAAAATATCTCATCTGAGTGTCTACAAACTCAGAGAAACTAAAGGGTAAGTAACAATGGAATAACAAAGAAAAAGCTTCTCTACTATGATGATTTGATGACTTGGGCACACTCCAACCTCTCTGAGTTATTGTTAGAAACAAAATCATGGACGCACTCTGATTTTGCATTCCCTTTTTGACTAGCCATATTGTAGTTCAGATTGCTTAAACAGCTCAACCACACATTTAATCACAGCAGAGAAAACTTTATTCTAAGGAGTGGAAAGCAATCAGGGAAATAGGGGGGAAAATGTGGCTTGTCCCAGAATAAACACAATGTATTATTAGCTGTCAAATGAAATTGTAATGTATGTTGTAGAAAAAAGAACCAAACTCTGATAGATTTTTACAATATCTCAGAGTCTCTTAAAAGTGTATGGTGTATGTTTATGTATAAATTATATACCATAGATTACTTCTAGGAATTTGTAGTTTCAAAGCCAACTCTGAGTTCACATCCATGTGCTAACCTTGTGCAAGCATTTAACCCATTCCTGGAAGAACAGCTTGGATGTGGTAAGGTGAGAGACCTGGCTCAGAGCACTAGGAGTTTTTCAGCTGACCACTGACCTCCTGTAAGATGAGATTTGATCCTCATGAATAACATGTCTTCATGTTTTCGTTAATATCCTAGGACTGTCTAAAGAAAGAAACCATGCTTGTCCTTCCTGTCACTTTTTCATTTGCATAAAACTAAGGAAGAAAGGCATCAACATTTGTATAAATCACTATTCTGTGCCCAAAACTGAATGTAGATTTCGAGTTAGGAGAAAACGTAGGAGGGGTGAATTCCTTCCTCTGTCTAAGTTCTGGGAACATTTACTTCCTAAGAGATGAACGGGGAATGTCTGTTGTCAATTAATATATATTGGAGGTATATAAAATGATGATGTGTCTGTAATTCAACTGTCACTGATATGAAACTGACTGCAGAATTACTTTCTGGGATTTAGAATTTACTCCCTCCTTCTGACTTTTTTGTTTATGCACTTTGCAAGACAAAAAGCAATTTCTGCCAACTGCTGAATTATAAATTCAACCTGGGATCTGATCATCAGATTCCACTTTTTCTCTGTTTTATCTCTCATCACAGATGATAAAGATAGTGCAATTGGAATTCAGCTGTGACAGTATAGATGATTAAGCTAAAATCTAATTGGCTTTGCAGTGTTAGCAGAAGCCAAAATTTAATGTCTGCACTTCTCTACTATGATGATTTGATGACTTGGGCACACTCCAACCTCTCTGAGTTATTGTTAGAAACAAAATCATGGACGCACTCTGATTTTGCATTCCCTTTTTGACTAGCCATATTGTAGTTCAGATTGCTTAAACAGCTCAACCACACATTTAATCACAGCAGAGAAAACTTTATTCTAAGGAGTGGAAAGCAATCAGGGAAATAGGGGGGAAAATGTGGCTTGTCCCAGAATAAACACAATGTATTATTAGCTGTCAAATGAAATTGTAATGTATGTTGTAGAAAAAAGAACCAAACTCTGATAGATTTTTACAATATCTCAGAGTCTCTTAAAAGTGTATGGTGTATGTTTATGTATAAATTATATACCATAGATTACTTCTAGGAATTTGTAGTTTCAAAGCCAACTCTGAGTTCACATCCATGTGCTAACCTTGTGCAAGCATTTAACCCATTCCTGGAAGAACAGCTTGGATGTGGTAAGGTGAGAGACCTGGCTCAGAGCACTAGGAGTTTTTCAGCTGACCACTGACCTCCTGTAAGATGAGATTTGATCCTCATGAATAACATGTCTTCATGTTTTCGTTAATATCCTAGGACTGTCTGAAGAAAGAAACCATGCTTGTCCTTCCTGTCACTTTTTCATTTGCATAACACTAAGGAAGAAAGGCATCAACATTTGTATAAATCACTATTCTGTGCCCAAAACTGAATGTAGATTTCGAGTTAGGAGAAAACATAGAAGGGGTGAATTCCTTCCTCTGTCTAAGTTCTGGGAACATTTACTTCCTAAGAGATGAACGGGGAATGTTTGTTGTCAATTAATATATATTGGAGGTATATAAAATGATGATGTGTCTGTAACTCAACTGTCACTGATATGAAACTGACTGCAGAATTACTTTCTGGGATTTAGAATTTACTCCCTCCTTCTGACTTTTTTGTTTATGCACTTTGCAAGACAAAAAGCAATTTCTGCCAACTGCTGAATTATAAATTCAACCTGGGATCTGATCATCAGATTCCACTTTTTCTCTGTTTTATCTCTCATCACAGATGATAAAGATAGTGCAATTGGAATTCAGCTGTGACAGTATAGATGATTAAGCTAAAATCTAATTGGCTTTGCAGTGTTAGCAGAAGCCAAAATTTAATGTCTGCCTTTTTTCCTCCATAGTAAAATAAACCTCTGTGATTCACAGTCTCAGAACAGAATTCCGTTGATTAAGAAAGTCTTTTTATGACTGTATATAGTCTTATAGTAAATAATTGACTGTGAGAATTAAAACAAAGTTCAAAGTTATGTTTTTCCTTGTGAACTTTGTAGAATGCAATGATTCTCTGAACTGTCACTTAAAGACATAAATGTTTTTGCTAACACGATATATTTTTAAAATATTCAAAGTCTATTGATTTGAAGGATAAACTTAAAGATACTTTTAAGCAATATTTGAAATAAGTGTATTCATGACAATTCACTTTATAGCATTAGTTAAGAGCAAAACTTAAACTGACAAATACTGCACAGAAAAGAGAGTGAATACACCTCTGCACCTTCACCACCATGATGTAGCAAGCTCTTGTTACTGTTACCAGGATCCAAAATATCCCCCAGGATGATTGAAGCTAACAAGAGAACTAGGATGTGTGATGAGAAGATATTTATGTCAGGTTTTCAACTTGCTGTTACTTTTCCTCCAATGTTTCTCTTTGGGTTCTTTGGCGCAATCTTACCCCAAACTAGAGTCAGGCTTCATCCTGGCTTATAATCCTGAGATAATTAGAGCTATTGAATGTGAAGAGGAGCCTGGTGGGCTGCTGTCCATGTGGTCAGAAAGAGCTGGACACAACTGAACACACACACCATCATCATTTTTAGAGCCAATGTGACTCGGTTTTCTAGAACTTAATACTAAAACCTAAAAGTATTTTTATTGAAAAAAGGTCTGTTTAGGGTGACTAAGATTCTATTTGTACTTAAATTTGATCTGAATGATTATAGTTTATCACTGACCAATTCTGTGGGTTGGCCACGCACGAACCAACAGTGCATAATAAATGAGATCATTTCATTTTCTATTTCTGGTGTGAATAAGAAACAGTTACTATACTATTGACCACCATCCTCTGTTTCTGAGGGTGGGGAAAAGTTGTTCATATTTTGTAAAAGTTTATATAATTTCATGTTTCAATGAAATTCCCTAAGATCAAACTACAACTACTCATAGCATAGATTAGATTTGGGTTCTTCTAATCACATATGGGTGAGACTGTCTTTTTTCAGAGTAGTTGATAACATGGGCAACACACTTCTCTATTGGAAAGGCAAGGAGTTAATAAGGAATTTGAAACAGACATGAACCCTAAGAGTAAGGGATAAAGCAAGTTAAAGTTCAATTCACTATAAACTCTAGGTACTAGCACTAAGTTTACTGAAATTGTAGAATATATTAAAAAAAAATTAGAAAATGAGTATACCACAAACTCTGCCTTCTAAGATCCTTTATTATTATGTCATAGAAAATAAAATTTGTTGGCAAAATCTGTATTTAAAATCATGAACACTTAGCCTCGTTTAAGAAGGAAAATATTAAAATCTCATACTATTTCAGGGATTAACATTTTTACATTTTCAGGTAAACTCCAAATTTCTAAGTCAAATTTTTGACGCATATAAGTCATTGATGGAACTTGTTATTAGTATTACAGTTGAAGAAAGAATTTTAAATTGTTAAGGGTTTTCTATCATCATTCTTTACAAGTCCTTTCCATACAATCCACTTTAGGACACAGAATAAAACAAAAATAGAAAGGGAAGGAGAACCCAGGACTAAAGAGTTTTCAAGAAAAAACCTTTTTTGTCATTTATTCAGCGGGGACACTGATTGGAAGAAGATATACTTCACACTGAAGGTCAACGTACAATAGCAAAACTAAAATGTTATTTATTTCTTCTTTTAGGGGCTGATGTTATCAACTTCGATGGCCATGTTGTGTTACCATATAGGTTCAGAAACAAGAAGATGAAAACACTGAAAGATGTCATTGCCTTGAAATTTAAAACCTCTGAAAGTGAAGGGGTAATCTTGCACGGGGAAGGACAGCAAGGGGATTATATTACTTTGGAACTCAAAAAAGCCAAGCTGGTCTTCAGTTTAAACCTAGGTATGTTCTGACTTTTGACACCTTCCATTTATTGGTATCTCTGTTAGTTAAATGCTAATGGTCTTTAATCCTTAAAATGTAAATTATACAAAGAGTTCACATTATGTTGTCAATTCATTTTTAATTCATAGTGTTTGATATACATTTATATACATACTCATTCATAAATGTGTATTAAACACCTCTTCTATGCAGGTACCATACTAGCATCTGGGATACAGCTGGACACTGCATGATTTATTATTTTAAAAGAACTAAATCAGAAGAAATGGCCTCAAATAGTGATGAGTAGTATGAAATCAACTAAATAAGGTTGATATGGTAAAGGATACTATATAGGCAAGAGGGGTAAATATTAGAATATGTAATGAGGAAAGTCCTCTCCAAGAAGATATTCTTGATGAGGTTTCAGTGATGACAAAAACAAGCCCTGAAAATATCTGGGACAAAGCAGTTGAGAAAGATTCATGAGAGACTAAGACCCGAAACAGGTCATCCTGCCCAAGGAACAGGATGAGGAGGCTAGTGTAGGTATTCATAGGATAGGAGATGAAATTAGATGTTATTTTAAGAATGGGAAGCTGTTGGTAGACTTTAAACTATATGGCCTCATGATCTTATTTTTAGAAATGTACTGAGACTTCTGTAAGAGAAAATGCTTGCATGAACATGAGAGTTAAAGCTGGACTTCTTCCTGGTGTAACTGAGATATGGCCACTGCTTGCAGAAGGTGGCTTTCCAGGGAGATAAAGAAAAAGAGAGTCACTTGGGAGATGGTTTGGTTGTAAAGTTAGTATGGTTTGTAATTAATTGAGTATGGAGTAAAAAAGAAAGGGAACATATAAAGAGTAACCCTAGAGTTCCAAATAGACATTTGTACCATTTTTAGAAATACAGAAAGCCTTGTTTTCTCTTCAGTTTCTTCTAACGGAGGAGTACTAATTTCTTCCAATAGAGGAAGTCTAGAGATCTGTTGGATTGGAGAAGGAAATGGCAACCCATTCCAGTGTTCTTGCCTGGAGAATCCCAGGGACGGCGGAGCTTGGTGGGCTGCCATCTATGGGGTCGCATAGAGTCGGACACGACTGAAGCGACTCAGCAGCAGCAGCAGCAGAGATCTGTTGGAACATGGTGCATTTTAGGGGCCTGTTAGTCATCACAGTTGAGCATCTATTAGGGAGGTCCATGTGTGGTATTGACAGGACAAGGTGCTACGTGGAGCCTCAGGAGAAGAGACAGTGAATAGGAGAAAATATGAGTATATGGCATCACAGAGACCAGGGAAGGAGAAGAGGCTGTCCTCTATGGTCTACTGTGTGGAGGTCACTTAAAATGTCACTTAAAACAGAAAAGTGAGGTCACTGGCAACATAGTGGTTACTGTTGATCTCCTCTCCCTAAAATAGAAAGAACAGTAGTTTTATTGTCATCAGTTAAGAAAAGATAAAAAGGGTGCAAATGAATATTTGAAGTATAATCAACGAGAAATGAAGGAATCAGAGAAATAATATGCTGAATAGAGAATGAGATGAAACTCAAAGAAGGAGTTACTATTTTGTTTTGGGCTTCTGTTGTTGTTTCTAAGTGGACAAGCCTAATAAATGTTTGTATTTTGATAATGTAGTTAAGATTTACTTAAAACTAAAGGGAAGGTCCACAAGACAGATACTGACATTCGGAGTTACAATTTATGCAAATCAATAATATATCTATCCTCTTCTTGCTGGCCTAACATTTTCAGAATTTATTCAAGAGTTGTTTGAAGGGCATCATATATTCCATATTGTTATGTTTAGTGATTTTAGGATTCTATAAAGATTTTGTGATCTAAATTATATCAATAACTAAAACTTGCATGTTAAATGCATCCCAATGGAAAGCTAGAAAACTGAAAATTAGAACACAAAGAGATCCTGCCTATTTGATTTTCTTATCAACATGGTTCTAACTTTCTTAAATATGGCTTGTTTCCCATATATTAACTTTCATTACTTTGAAAATCAGTAGTATACTAAAATATACAAATTCAGTTAGTTTTTTTCAATTGATAATACTTAATATAGTGTCTACAAAGATTATTCTTCGTTATAAAACATTTCACATTCAAAATCTTATCTGATAGAAAAAATAGTTTCCATAACAAGAAAACTATCCAAAAAAGCTGATTTTAAAATTATACAAAAATATTTAAATTTTTATATTAAAATCATAAAATGAAAATGCATGCCAGAACCTAGGAAAATTCAAATAGAGAAGTTTAATGTCATTCTTGAATGAAAATTCATTCTACTCTATAAATGTACTAAGATTTTACAAGAAAATATTGGCAAAAAATGTAAGGAAAACTCATTGCAGAAAAATTATAGTCTATGAACACCAAATGCTCAATCAAGCTATCTATGAAAGAAATATACAATAAAATAATGATTCCAATTTTTTCAAGCAAGTAAATAAATTTTAAAAATGATAGTATCTGTATTGGTGTGTTATGCAATAAAAAGGATTCTTTGTACTGTCCTAAAAATATTTCAAGAAAACAAATTTAATAATATATCTTCAGATATTTTTATTTTCTATATATTTCAATTCAGTAATCATAAAGAAATAATAAGAAACAGCTCTAGAATTTCTGTCCTGTCCAAGAATGTATACTTTGCAATATTAGTTACAATAACAAATATTGAAAGAAAAAAGCTTCACGCATAGAAATACATTGGTATGGGTTTAAAATATCTGTGAATAATTTGGGGAATATTACACAGCATTAAATTAAAACAGTAGGCAAACTATAAATGTTAAATCAATATTTTATATGTATATTAATTATATGATTTTATGTGTATAATTTTAAAAAAATGTCTGGAGGAACTCGACCACACTATTTTTAGTGGTGGAAATGAGTGATTGATGATTTACATATTAATTCTTTATAAAATTGGATCATATCTAAGGTAATTTATTTTTTCAAACTTTTCTCCTTTTTTTTTTTTTTTAAAGTGAAAGACACAGAGTAGCCTTTAAAAGTCATTGGGCCTTGTAAGAGTGAGATGTTACTCTTCTGAAACAAGAACTGATCATATGGCCTCACACAAATAGATCGTTACCATGTCATTGGAAAGCAGTTTATGTAGAGTATTGTTGACAAATTTATGACAGCCCATGGAAACACATCCACTCAAATATCCACTCTCACTTTCAATGCTATTTCCTTAATACAGGCACATCTAGCTACTGCTTAGTTTTCTAGTCTAAATATTTAATATAATAAAACTGAATGTATTCTTTTACTTAAATTTATTCTTTCTTTTCTTTCTTCCTCTCCCATCCCTACATACGTACACAGTCACAATCATGGTCACAGGGAAACATTTGATTTCATCACCAAAAGGAAAAAAAAATTCATATAGGAGATCCATAGAAAATGTCAGGTATAGGTATATTAGCATCATAAGTGTGAAAAAAGGCAATAATTCTTCAGTCAATCATGTGTTTATTTTCTTTCTATTATGCTATTTATTATGAAGCAATAGTTTATTTTATAGCATTTAGTTTTGCCTGACCATAAAAAGCAATGCTTGATTAGACAAAATGGAAAATGGTATAAAATATGTAAACAGCATCCAGAGATGACCTTAATAAATATTTCAGACTCTCACAACCTTCCACTCTTATTTATAGTCCTGTTGCTATGGAGATCTTATTTCAAAACTGAACTAATGCTACATATGTAATTTTGCAAATTTTTATTTTAAAGTATAACTTGAGTAAATTTTCCATGACATTAAATATTATGTTGTACTTAAGATTATGGCTTTAGGAATCAGAAAACATTTGTCATCTTGTATTTTCTTGACCAATTATAATAATAACAACAACAACAATAATAAAAATTAACAGGTAACTTTTAATGAACATTCACTGTATGTCAGGAAATAAGTTCTTTGCTTGTACGGATTAATTTAATCCTTACAGCAACTTTGAAAAGCAGGTATTTTTCCCTTTTTACATATGACCAAAGAGAGGCTCAGAGAGAGGTCACCTTGGCCAGGATCATAGAGCAAGCCAGTGATGGAACAGCATCAGAATCAAGGGACTCTGACTCCAGAGTCCACGGGGCACTGACTTCATAAGGAATATACCAAACTTAGCAGAATTCGTGGCTCAGTAATTAAAAAAAAAAAAAATAAAGCTCGTGGTTTTTAAGGGAACAGAGGTTTTTCCATCTTTAATAGCTTTTATGTAGTTTGAATATGCAACTGTTTTTAAGTATCATTCCATAATGGTTGTCCCATGTAAACTACAATCGACAGAGATGCCGTAAAACGTCCGCCCGTGGCATGGTAGGTGACATAGAGTTCTGGTGTCTTTACCTGGTTCCTTTTCCATTCACGTGATTCAGGAAGCAACCAGCTTGGCCCCATATACGGCCACACGTCCGTGATGACAGGAAGTCTGCTGGACGACCACCACTGGCATTCTGTGGCTATCGAGCGCCAGGGCCGGAGCATCAACCTCACCCTGGACAGAAGCACGCAGCACTTCCGCACCAACGGGGAGTTCGACTACCTGGATTTGGACTATGAGGTAAACGTGAGCATGTGTTCTTGGTCATGCATCGGTTGGCGGCTTCAGTTTCATGCTGTCTTGTTGAACTATTGTTAATTACATCCCTTCATATACCATTTTCGTTTTATTCTCCAAAGAAAACTTACGGCTTCACAACTGAATTTATTAATATAGGTCATTTTGCTAAAATTTAAATTGTTAATGGGTTATTGAAATATTTTTTAAAACCTGGAACCAAAGTAGCATATATTTGAAGAAAAGGACCATTTATTATGTTATCAGAGCCATTTAACAAAACCAGACTAAATTAAGTTATAATCTTTCTATTGGTAATTATAAATTGCTTGTTCTTGATAATATACAGTTTGTTATGTACATGATTGCCTAGTATTTATTAGAAAACATTGCATAAGAAATCCTACATTAAATCATTTATAAATTCATGACTATAGATAGTTCCTTTGGCAAGTTCTATTTTCTCAGATATAAATTTCATAAAATAAACAAAAATACAGACTATTTTAAAGAGATTGTTCATAAATAAAAGGATATTTTTTTACCTTCCAAATGACTAAAGGTTAAAAATATTGGTCTGGTAAAAATATATATTCTCATAATACACTGAGAGGCATATAAGGTTTTTTAAAAATAATTTTTTGGAGAGCAATTTAACTGTAAAGTGTCCATTAAAAATGTTAATCATAAGTAGGAATAAAAGTTCTGTAAAAACAGGTTCATTACTGGGGCACCCCTATGATTTTGCTGTGTCATTTCAATGTGCCTTGGTCCCAGTGTTGAAATTACACATGTATATATACACATATATGTGTGTTATTGATTGCTGTTGTTCAGTTGCTAAGTAATGTCGAGCTCTTTCAACCCCATGGACTGCAGCATGCCAAACATCCCTGTCCTTCACTATCTTCCGGAAATTTTTCAAACTCATGTCCATTGAATCAGTGATATTATTGATATCCACCCATAAATCTTTGAGAACATAAAATGTATTTGTCATAAAATAGTATATGAAAAGTCAGGATTTACAACTATATTTTTTATTTTCCTTTTATGTTTAAATAGTTTCTAATCTAAATTTTCTGTGATATGAATATATTACATATATTTCTAAACAGAAATTTAGAATGGAATATGCAATGTAAACTTTAATATAGAGACTTTATTGACATTAAAATAAATGTAAGGTTATCAGGGAGTAGTTACCCCTCCAAAAACATCTCTTTAAAGTGAAAATGATTGTTCAACGGCAAAGAATGTGAAAATTCCCCAAATTCCTATCTTCTCTAAATTAGTATTAATCTGGGCTAATGTGACCTATCTCCTACTGTCTGAGAGAATTTAAAGATGAATTATTCATTCTCCATTAATAAACTTTGAAGTACCCTAGAAGAGGTGAGAAATCCTAAAACATTAGCAACAGGCAAACACAATTTCAATTTTAAAAAAACAGAATTAAAAATTTGGGATCATAGTCCCTGTTGAGTTTGCAGTGAAATCTATGAATATTCATACACACACAATGCCTCCTATATGGTCAGCAGTTTCATCAACACTTCAGAGCCCTTCTAGATAGAATACCATGTTTGAGAACCTCACCTGTGGACTAAAATGCCTGAAACATATTTGTCAGGGAGACGTAGAAAGAAATTTAAATTGACTAAAAAAGAGTCAGGAGAGACACAACTTACTTCTCTTTGTAGAGCTACTGCCTGATTACTTTCCTTAGATACTGCAATTATCGGCAGACAGTGCACATGAAAATGCTTGGGTCTACCTTTGTATCTCAACGTGTTGCGATTTTGGAGAGAATCAAGTGTGTGAGCTCAAATTGGAGCCATTAAGCCTGGCTTTAAATCCCTTTTTGCCCCTTCCTGGTTGTGTGACACTGGACGAATCATATTCCCTTTCCATAAAGTGAAATTAGCACATGGCTTGTTAGAGAGGAGGCAACAGGGAATAACAGATATTACCACATATTATCAGTTATAATTAATTAGACTGCATATAACAGACACGTGTATTCCTTTCACCTAAAAGGGGCCTGTAGGCAGGAAACCCTGGGCTCATAAGGCAGCATCGTGATAGTTAGGACCCCAGTCTCCTTTTATTCCACTGCTACTCCATCCCCTCTGCAACTCACTCCAAGTTGACTCCTCACTTTCCATTTTGCATTCCAGACAGTAGAGTCACACACAACCTTTTGGCTTAAATCTCATGAGACCAAATCTTGTTCAAAGAGGTTGGTAAATGCCATATATTGGCTGGGGAGCATGTGCTCAGCTGAAAAACGGTATTATTTTCTTAAAGATGGTGGGAGAAAAGACACTCAAAAGTGTCTGGTAAGCCCTGTCTCACTTTGGAAACTCTTGGCAGCTAACAAAATGGTCAGTGCATTTCTTTTTTAGAGTCGAGGTTGTCACTGAACAACAGTGTCATTAGTAAGGCAATAATGTGAGTCTATATTAATATCTGATTATTAATCTAATAACCGCAGCTTTTTTTTTTTACCATGAGAATGATGACAGTATTTGAAAATATTTTATTGATGAAGACATATAACAAGAAAGAAGAAGTGACCACCTAATACCAAATGGTGAATTACGTTAGAAATTGGGAGTTGAACCCGCTTCTCTCAATTATAAGGGATCTGATAGACTGAGCCTGTGATGCTTTACCAGGTTACATTCTACAGGATAGGACATGAGTTGAAGGTTGTTGAAAAGAGAAACTGTAAAGAGTGTCTGAGCCATTATCCCGAAGGATAATAGGAGCCCCCAATAAAAAAACTATGCACCCAGAGAAGGAATAAAGCAATACTTTCAACTGTAATCATATTTAGTAACATTATTCACAGTGTGATGCTGCATGTCATTAAGCATGGAAGATTTTATTACTATCAACTGGAGCAGAGATTGGTAAAATAAATTGTGGATAGAAAATTCAACACTCCATTAAAGTCTCAGTAATCCTAACCTATGGCATTAAGTACATGTATATAGCACCTAATAACTTCAGTTCAGTGCCACTTGAAAATATTTTCCTAATGTATTTCAGAACACCCCTGTTTTTCCTTTTGTAGGCTCCAGATTCTTTTTTGTGTGTTTATTCTTAGTTTTTCTTTTTTCTTCCCATAGTTAAACTCTAAGGTAAATGATATATAGTATATATTCAGCTGTTATTAATACACTTAGTTGCATTTTAAGTGAGTTTTTTAAATTTTTTGGTTGTCTCATAAATTATTATTAATTTGTCCTTTTTACCCTAAAACTATTTAAGAATTTAAAATGCGTATACACACATGGCTATATATAAGATAGATAAACAACAAGGACCTACTGTACAGCACAGGGAACTAACTGTCTTCTGTATCTTTAAATAACCTATAATGTGAAACAGTCTGAAAAGGAATATATATGTATGACTGAATCACTTTGCTGTATACCTGAAATTAACACAGCATTGTAAACTAAAAATTAAGAAATGGTTAAAAATAATTTTAAACGTTTACATTAAAAAAACTAAAATGTCAAAGCACTGCATAACAGAGGCATAATACATGTCTTCTAAAACCTAAAGATCTCTGCCTTATATATCAAATTTAAAGTTTTGACATTGAAATATGTCTTTCATTTTCCAACCTTTGTAGGAAAAATTGGTAATTGGATACTACTTAAAAGAAATATGATGTCTGGATTAGATATCTTGATATTACAGCTATGATTAATAGATTCATTCACTATTAGTACACGTCATTATTGGCAGTACATAATTAAGTATAATTCTATTATATGAAATTGATGTTATAATAATGTAATTTGATCAAAGGTATCTGGAAAAATATATGTTCTCTTTTTATTGTGATTTTACCAATTGCTTGAAAATCACAGGAAGGAGCATTGACCTTATTCCTTAGGATTTAGGACACCTATAATATCTTTAAGCCTGTACTTCTCAAATCATAGCCTCCAAACCCAAAGATATTTCTAATCAATACAGCAGTGAGACTTTTGGAACTATTTTCTGTATTCACAGTAAGCCTAACAATTTTTTTACTGTAATGATCATTAGACTACAACGTCTAAATAGGGTGAATACAAGGTTTCTTCCTTTGGGCTGAAGCCGTAAACTTAATATATTAGTGCTGGTTATTTCATGATGACTAGTAACATTTATTGATAATGTCTTTGATAAGCATAAAAATATATGCTTAACATTTATAAAAGATGCTTGCTGTGTAAAATCTTTTAGAACATTCTCAGGAAAATTGATAAAATGCCTTCCAGGTTTTAAAAATGCTAGAAATTGTTGCTATTTTCTTATATAATCTAATTTTCAGAATTAATACAGTCAGTATATACTTCAATAACAACATAATTTAATATGCAACAGACTTTAGAGGCAGAAAAAATGTCTATATATGTTGGCTGAGGTTACAATAACTGATTTTCGCTGTGTTAGTAGTTTTGTCTAATTTATTGTAAATGTGTTTATTTGTTTAAGCCAAATACAGTGTGAATGTTTACATTTTATCTTTTTCTCAAAGATAACCTTTGGAGGCATACCTTTCTCCGGAAAGCCAAGTTCCAGCAGTAGAAAGAATTTCAAAGGCTGCATGGAAAGCATTAACTACAATGGCATCAACATAACAGATCTGGCAAGAAGGAAGAAGCTTGAGCCCTCAAATGTGGTAAGATTTTCCACCCCCATAATATTGGTTCCTAGAAAAATCAAAGAAATTTTGTTTTGTTTGGACTGTTAATGGACAACAGTATCATAGCATTTGTTATCAGGCTTGTGGGCTCAACCATATAAAACTAATTTTAGAGGTACTTGAAAATATGGAGATACTGGATGTACTCTAAGACTAGATACTGATTTTTGAGTTAAAGTTACTGGAAATAGAAAGTTTGTTTCAGATGGGGCCAGGAATTTCAGCCCCAGAGTTTCTAGATTTCCCATGATAGAAGGACAGTCATCCCAACTGTTCATCAGACCTTAAATAAGCAGCCCCATGTTTCCAAATGTCACATTGTATAGAATGCTACATTTCTTGATGATAATGTAATTCACTATTTAAAAATCTTAAAAGCCAGGAGTCTTATTATTTTTTTCCATGTTTCCAAAGCTGATTCACCCAGGTATATAAAGAAATACACTTCTTGTCAAAGCTCTAAACATACTAAATATTATGCAATTCAATAAAGATGGATTAGATTGGATAGTGAAGGCTGTGACTCAGAAGCTCACAGTGGTCCTGGCTCTGGTGTGTGTGTTTCCATGTTGAACTATTTCAAAGTGAAAGTGTAGTCTCTCAGTCAAGTCATACTCATTGTGACTCCGTGTAACCTGCCAGGCTTCTCTCTCCGTGGAATTTTCTAGGCAAGAATACTGGTGTGGGTTGCCATTTCCTTCTCCAAAACTCTTTCAAGGAGGAGAACAAAAATCAAAGAACACCCTAGGACATTTGCCTCCCCACAACACCACATAAGATTACTATAAGAGAAACTTATAAATCTGGTATGTGGGTTCCTGCTGGTATAAAACCTAAAGATCTCTGCCTTATATATCAAATTTAAAGTTTTGACATTGAAATATGTCTTTCATTTTCCAACCTTTGTAGGAAAAATTGGTAATTGGATACTACTTAAAAGAAATATGATGTCTGGATTAGATATCTTGATATTACAGTTATGATTAATAGATTCATTCACTATTAGTACACGTCATTATTGGCAGTACATAATTAAGTATAATTCTATTATATGAAATTGATGTTATGATAATGTAATTTGATCAAAGGTATCTGGAAAAATATATGTTCTCTTTTTATTGTGATTTTACCAATTGCTTGAAAATCACAGGAAGGAGCATTGACCTTATTCCTTAGGATTTAGGACACCTATAATATCTTTAAGCCTGTACTTCTCAAATCATAGCCTCCAAACCCAAAGATATTTCTAATCAATACAGCAGTGAGACTTTTGGAACTATTTTCTGTATTCACAGTAAGCCTAACAATTTTTTTACTGTAATGATCATTAGACTACAACGTCTAAATAGGGTGAATACAAGGTTTCTTCCTTTGGGCTGAAGCCGTAAACTTAATATATTAGTGCTGGTTATTTCATGATGACTAGTAACATTTATTGATAATGTCTTTGATAAGCATAAAAATATATGCTTAACATTTATAAAAGATGCTTGCTGTGTAAAATCTTTTAGAACATTCTCAGGAAAATTGATAAAATGCCTTCCAGGTTTTAAAAATGCTAGAAATTGTTGCTATTTTCTTATATAATCTAATTTTCAGAATTAATACAGTCAGTATATACTTCAATAACAACATAATTTAATATGCAACAGACTTTAGAGGCAGAAAAAATGTCTATATATGTTGGCTGAGGTTACAATAACTGATTTTCGCTGTGTTAGTAGTTTTGTCTAATTTATTGTAAATGTGTTTATTTGTTTAAGCCAAATACAGTGTGAATGTTTACATTTTATCTTTTTCTCAAAGATAACCTTTGGAGGCATACCTTTCTCCGGAAAGCCAAGTTCCAGCAGTAGAAAGAATTTCAAAGGCTGCATGGAAAGCATTAACTACAATGGCATCAACATAACAGATCTGGCAAGAAGGAAGAAGCTTGAGCCCTCAAATGTGGTAAGATTTTCCACCCCCATAATATTGGTTCCTAGAAAAATCAAAGAAATTTTGTTTTGTTTGGACTGTTAATGGACAACAGTATCATAGCATTTGTTATCAGGCTTGTGGGCTCAACCATATAAAACTAATTTTAGAGGTACTTGAAAATATGGAGATACTGGATGTACTCTAAGACTAGATACTGATTTTTGAGTTAAAGTTACTGGAAATAGAAAGTTTGTTTCAGATGGGGCCAGGAATTTCAGCCCCAGAGTTTCTAGATTTCCCATGATAGAAGGACAGTCATCCCAACTGTTCATCAGACCTTAAATAAGCAGCCCCATGTTTCCAAATGTCACATTGTATAGAATGCTACATTTCTTGATGATAATGTAATTCACTATTTAAAAATCTTAAAAGCCAGGAGTCTTATTATTTTTTTCCATGTTTCCAAAGCTGATTCACCCAGGTATATAAAGAAATACACTTCTTGTCAAAGCTCTAAACATACTAAATATTATGCAATTCAATAAAGATGGATTAGATTGGATAGTGAAGGCTGTGACTCAGAAGCTCACAGTGGTCCTGGCTCTGGTGTGTGTGTTTCCATGTTGAACTATTTCAAAGTGAAAGTGTAGTCTCTCAGTCAAGTCATACTCATTGTGACTCCGTGTAACCTGCCAGGCTTCTCTCTCCGTGGAATTTTCTAGGCAAGAATACTGGTGTGGGTTGCCATTTCCTTCTCCAAAACTCTTTCAAGGAGGAGAACAAAAATCAAAGAACACCCTAGGACATTTGCCTCCCCACAACACCACATAAGATTACTATAAGAGAAACTTATAAATCTGGTATGTGGGTTCCTGCTGGTCCTGGAAGAACAGGAGTTTCTTCAGTTCCAAAGTGTCACTAGGAAGATCCTGGGAATCCAGAGATCCATGTATTTGGAAGTCAGTGGGAGTAGAAAATATTATGAGTGTTTGTACTATGTTCTGACTCTGATGGATTTGTTATCCAAAATTTGAGCCTGGGGTTTTCATAAAATGAGCGGACAAATGGAAATGCCCAATGAATAAAGAGGTGTTCTGGTTGGATATAAGAAACTGTAAAATAATTTGTTGTTTAGTCTCTAAGTCATGTCCAACTCTCTGTGACCCCACGGACTGTAGTCCACCAAGCTCCTCTGTCCGTGGGATTTCCCAGGCAAGAATGTAGAGTGGGTTGTCATTTCCTTCTCCAGTGGGTTTTCTTGATCCAGGGATCAAACCTGTGTCTCCTGCATTGACAGGCAGATTCTTTATGGCTGAGTCATAAAGGGAAGCTCCTAAAGTAATAGTTGAATGTAGATTTTATTTTACTAATTATCTTTCTAAATTAATGAAGAATTAGTACTAATAGTTGAAAATTGAACTTTGGTGAAATTTTCTTACAAGATATTGACTGTAGGGGAAAATAATAGCTCCATGTATAGGTAACAGGTACTGTGTGAGACCTTTATGATACTCTAAGAACTATACTACAAAGGAGATATTGTCATAAATATCTTGTAGATGAAAACTGAGGTTTAACTTAGAAAAAGCAAAGATTGTGGACTCACAGTATTCAGTCCCAAGGTCACGGCTTCTTTCCATGTTGTGTCATTTCTTATCTAGAGCAGTATTTATATATATGTTATTTTAAGCTTTGGATAAAATGGCATCAGAGTCCTTTTGTTTCCTCAGAAATTAACACCTAAGACAGAAAGATACAGAATCCAAATCATCATCATACCTTTCCCATTATTTGCACCTTTAAGAAGAAGTAAAGTGTTATTTGTGCCTAAACCTCCCAGCTGGTCCTCACATGTATCCATTAGGTTCTCAAACTACAGAGAATTGCACTCTGGAGACTCATCCCAAAGTCAGCTTCAACCACAATATATTGTTGCTTATAAATGGTATTTTAACCTGAATAACAAAGACATTTTAAAAAGCCTGAATTATCTATAATTACATTTGTTAAAATGGAAGGAGCAGACACAAAAAAGGCTTTTAAACAAAAATAAACATATGTATTAAAAGATTTAGGCAGCGTAGAGGCAGGCAGGACATTTTGCAAGTTGCTCTGCGAAGGCAAATATTTACAGAGGAGATTTGCTTTTGAAGATGTCAGGTGCTAATATTTCTGTGTAATTGGCTCAGCACTTACCCTGCACCATTCTCCTTACACACACCCATTTCCTCATTAAATGCTGACTCCAGAATCAGCACCATCACTCAGAACTTTTCACTTTCCTGGGAGACAGTCTTCACAACACAGGCAAGCAGTCCGTTATGTCATGTCAGTTTTTGTGCATAGGCAGTTTTTTTCATCTGGATAAGTAAGCCTTTAAAAATAGTCATCTAATCATCTGTGAAGATACAGGGCTTCCCAGATGGCCTAGTGGTAAAGAACCTGCCTGCCAATGCAGGAGGCATAAGAGATGCCGGTTTGATCCCTGGGTGGGGAAGATCCCCTGGAGGAGGGCATGGTGACCCCCTCCAGTATTCTTGCTTGGAGAACCCCATGGACAGGCGAGCCTGGGGGGCTGCAGTCCATGGGATCACACAGAGTTGGACCCTACTAAAGCGGCTTAGCATGCATGCACATGCAGGTACAGCACAATTTTAATTTGAATATTAATTGGGGGGGGTCAGCCTCAGCCTAACTTAGATTAAATGGTTAATGTACTAAAACAGAAGAACTATGCCTCTGGGGATAAGTATGTGGTGTTGTTTAAGGAAACAATAGAGAAAAAAATCCCTTCAAATCATATTCCTCAAGATATAGTGGGATTAAAAAAAAAGATGGTGAAAAATGTAGATTTTTTTTCATATCTTTAAAAGGAAGGTACTTAGATAATAGAATATAAAATTCAGTGTATCTGAATAATCAAATTTCTTTGTCCCAAATAGAGGAAGCATGAGGGGGAGGAGGAAGCTTTAATTGAAAGTTTTCTTTTCCTTTTGTACATTCATGTCACTGTTTCTGAAAGCATTAATATATTATGATATATGCACATTTCATGGGAATGTAAATGAGAGTTTGAGTTGAATAAGAAAATAATCTGTTGTTTAGTTGCTCAGTCATTTCTGACTCTTTGCGACCCTATAGATTGCAGCACGCCAGGCTTCCCTGTCCTTCACCATCTCCCAGAGCTTGCTCAAACTCATCTCCATTGAGTCAATGATGCCATCTAACCATCTCATCCTCTGTCGTCCCCTTCTCCTCTTGCCCTCGATCTTTCCCAGCANTGGGGGGTGGGGGGGGGGAGGAAGCAGCTCTCTGCTTTCTTCAGAAAGTCCAGTGGTCCACTCCCAAGCCCACCACATAGGGCCGCATCCATTCCATAGCCAACCCATCACACCAGGCCGTGAGTTTGTCAAATCCGTGACGCAAGGTGCTTGTATGAACCCCTCAGTCTGAAGGCCAGCTGCTGGACTCTGTTCGCTACAGCAGAAAGGGCAGGCAGGACATGTCCTTCCAAGGACACGTGAGTCTGTGTCACATGGCTGCACACGGGGATTGCACGCAGCTCAAGGTCCGTTTTGAAATGTGCGCAACTCTCACTTCGTCAGCTGTCTTACATGGGTGCTTGTTTTATTCTCCATTTTCCTCAAAGCATGCCCTTCTGTCTTTCAGGGAAATTTGAGTTTCTCGTGTGTGGAGCCCTACACAGTGCCTGTCTTTTTCAATGCCACCAGTTACCTGGAGGTGCCTGGACGGCTTCACCAGGACCTGTTTGCGGTTAGCTTCCAGTTCAGGACTTGGAACCCCAGTGGTCTCCTGCTTTTCAGTCATTTTGCGGATGACCTGGGCAACGTGGAGATTGACCTCACTGACAGCAAAGTCGGTGTTCACATCAACGTCACACAGACCAAGATGAACCAGATAGACATTTCGTCAGGTCAGTGAATCTATTCGATGTTCACGCCTGAAACTGTTGTGATTTCCAGCTAGGGTTATGTTTTTACTTTGTTGTCACACTCTCATGGTTATGTTTGGATTCAGACACTGAGATCTTTCCTTGGCTTCCCTGAGGGCAGGCTGAATGAGGGAAACTTAGAAATGCTGAGAGAATGAGGGTAGGCAAGGAGGAAAGTTGGTTGGGACTGTCTTGACAGGACTGACTTTTTACAAATGCTAGTCCCTCTTGCATAGAGCAGTGGATATTCCTCTAAGTTAAGATCATATGTTTAAAAACAAAGAATGTTTGTTTTATTAACATAAGAACACTTGATATCTTTTCACCTTATGGGCATTCACATTCCTTTTACTATGAGTAATAAGGTTGCATTGATGTAAATTATGACTTTAAAGGTAAGTTCTACTGTTCGAATCAAAAGCTCTGTGGTCTTCTAAATTTATGCAAAGTATTAGAGAGAAAAAAGGGAAATTAATACAAAGAAGAATGACAAGAGATAAGAATGACAAGAGACAACTGAAGGCAGACGGGACTGGCTAAGTAGAGTGATTTTTAAACTTGACATTTTAGTGGCATGATAAACTAAGACTTAGGTAATATTGTTGTTATTTGAATAAACTCATCGACCTTGGAATAATCCTTGAGTATGATGGTACAAAGAAAGATGATATTGCCAAATGAGATATCATAAACAAATAAAATGATATCAGCTATGGGACTGAAAAATAGTAAAAAAAAAAAAAAGTCATCAAATTTCTCTAGAAGTTTCTTGAAAGCAGTGTTTTAAGTAAGTACTTATTCTAAGTAATGAACTACTTAGAAATGGAAGATAGGAGGAAAAAGGGTATTTCCTGAGCACCTAGTATAGATGTACCAAATACTGAGAGAGAAAGTTCATAACAGAAGGCTCAACTGTGTGACTGTGAGCTCTGATTTCTAAACATTCTGTGTTCACTCGTGACACTATTATGATTGGGTCCATCTCATTTTTCCTCTATGCTATCAGCTCCTTGAAGGCAGAGGCCATTCCCCTGCACATAGAGCAATGCCTGTAACATCAGAGATGCTTCAGGAATGTTTCTTGAAATCAGCACTGTGGATCTGTGAACTAGTGTTCACAGAATATCTCCTGCTTGAGGATATGTGCCTTTTCATACAACAGGCTGTGTGTTTTTGTATGAGCTGGCTGTGTGGTCTGTTACAGAAAAGGACTCAAGGAAGACACAGAAGCCATTATGTCACAGGTGTATCTGAATAATTGAAATAAAAAGCTATTGTAAAATACCTAGATATTTACTTTTGCCTTTTTTTGCATTGTTAATGAAGAAGCCATTATGTCACAGGTGTATCTGAATAATTGAAATAAAAAGCTATTGTAAAATACCTAGATATTTACTTTTGCCTTTTTTTGCATTGTTAGTGTTGCTTTTTCTCCGAAAGTTCAGAGTGAAAATGATTGATCACCATATTTTATCACTGCATCTCAGTATAAATACTTGTGGGGAGAGTTAGAGTAAATAGAAATTATCTGGAGAGACCAGAATAGCACATAAAACAAATACACATACAAATATTTACCACTGTTGAAAAACTCCCCACTAGATTCTGTTAAAATTGATGTTTAGCATTAAAAATACAAGGATGAAGTCCTCCCTCCTGGAAATCACTGAGAAAAACCCAAACTCCTGGTGGTTTTCCATGTAACAAGTACCATTATAATTAAAAGAATAGGATCTTAAACATAGTGATCAATAAATATTTGCTAATTTAATGTGGTCTAATTTAGGACTCCAGGATATTCTCAACTAATTTAAAATGTGTTTATTAAAATATAAAAGGATAAACAAAGGAATACAATATATAGCATCTAATTTACCTTAATGTGTATGCGTGCTCAATTGCTCAGTCATAAGTAACTCTTTGTGACTCCACAGACTATAGCCTGCCAGGCTCCTCTGTCTATGGGATTTTTTGGCAAGAATAGTGGAATGGGTTACCATTTCCTCATAAGTTTCCTTAAATATTATAAAAGTAAACCTTAGATGTTTTTGTTAATTTATCTTAGAATCTGTGCAAATTAAGGAAAACAGGATGTGATATCTGAATTTTTCTGTAGTCTCATTCTTATGTAGTCCAGTGAAATATTTATATTTCAAAGATTTCTATTTTTCCCATACATAGAGTACACTGATATTTGCTTTTAACAAAGGATAATTGTTCTGTGTTGTATCTACCCTATTCTTTCTATGAAGTACAGTTGATTTTTATTATTGTGTTAGCTTTAGGCTTCAGGTGTATAAGAAAGTGATTCATATGTATTTTTTTTTCTTTTTAAGAGTATATTTCCATATAGGTTATTATAAGATATTGGATATAGTTCCCTGTGCTATACAGTTCATCTTTATTGCTTTTTTTATGCATAGCAGTGTGTTTATTAATCCCGTACTACTGATTTATCCCCCCACTCTTTTCCCTTTGGTAGCCATAATTTTCTTTTCTGTATCTGTGAGTATATTTCTGTAAATAAGTTCATTTGTATCTTTTTTAGAGTTCAGATATGTGATATTATATGATGTTTTCTTTTTCTGTCTGACTTAGTATGATCATTTCTAGGTCCATCTGTGTTGCTGCAGATGGCATCATTTCATTCATTTTTAATCAGGTCCCATCACCTCATGGGAAATAGATGGGGAGACAGTGAAAACAGTGTCAGACTTTATTTTTGGGGCTCCAAAATCACTGCAGATGGTGACTGCATCCATGAAATTAAAAGACGCTTACTCCTTGGAAGGAAACTTAGGACCAATCTAGATAGCATATTAAAAAGAAGAGACATTACTTTGTCAACAAACATCTGTCTGGTCAAGGCTATGATTTTTCCAGTAGTCATGTATGGATGTGAGAGAAGGTTTTATCTTTTACAGATAAATGCCAAGAAGTGAGATTGCTGGATCATATGGAAGTTCTATTTTTAGTTTAGAACCTGCCCTAACTATTTTTATTTTGTTGAGGAACCTTCAGACTGTTTTTTCCATTGTAGCTGCACCAGTATACAATCCCACCAGCTGTGTAGGAGGGTTCCCTTTTCTCCATGCCCCTTCAGCATTTATTATTCACATATTGTTTGATGATGGCCTTTCTTTTTTTTTTTCTTTTCATTTATTTTTATTAGTTGGAGGCAAATTACTTCACAACATTTCAGTGGATTTAGTCATACATTGACATGAATCAGCAATGGAGTTACATGTATTCCCCATCCCAATCCCCCCTCCCACCTCCCTCTCCACCCAATTCCTCTGGGTCTTCCCAGTGCACCAGGCCCGAGCACTTGTCTCATGCATCCAACCTGGGCTGGTGATCTGTTTCACCCTAGATAATATACATGTTTCGATGCTGTTCTCTTGAAACATCCCACCCTCGCCTTC